ACAGGGACATCAGCACTGACCACAGGGAGGACAGGACCAGGGAGGTGCCCGTACTGACCGCTGGGGTGAGAATCATTCACACAGGGACATCAGCACTGACCACAGGGAGGTGCCCATACTGACCGCTGGGGAGAGAATCATTCATACAGGGACATCAGCACTGACCACAGGGAGGACAGGACTGGAGAACTGACTATACTGACCACTACAGGGACAGAGTAACAATAACAACCCGAGAGGTTGTTCGACAAATCTGAGGTAGCAAATACAGTAGAGAGCGACTCTGAGAGGGAGAGAGAGACTTTATACATGCAAGAGATCTTTTCTTAAATGCCTAATAGAAGCAAATGCATTTCCCCGGAGAGGGAGGGAGAGGTCACTACAGCCACCTCGTACCCAGAACAGAGGAGTCTCTTCAGCTACTGGTCAGTGCTGCCACGTCAGTCTAGCGACCCCTGGTCTGGGACGCGTTCGTGTATTGTCACCGTCACGAGTGGGTGCAGAATACAGTTTACAGGCCTCGGAACTTGTTTCTAAATTGCCCAGCTGAGCTTCTCCGCTCCAGAAACCGCCGAAATCTGGGCTCTGTTAGAGCCACGTCAGTGTGCGCTACAAATAGGGTCCGACGGGAAACATGGAGGCGGAACTCCCAGAACGTCGCTTTTACCACCTTCCCCCGCGCTCTTTGCGTCCGATGTCAAAAATCACAAAGCCTACAGCCCCCCGTCGGCCATCACGGACTCCGTCTCCACCTCGACACTTCTGCAAATTCAGATAGCCCGACGCACCCTGCAGCCTCTCCCCCTGGCACAGTGAATACCAGACGGGCTCTCGCCACGGGGGAGCCCACGCCGCGTCCGTGTCCCCTTCTCGGGGCTCTGCACTCACTCACCCATTCCGTGAGATTTAAGCGCGTAGAAGTTCTTATTTCCCCCCGGTGAACTGAGTTTACTCCGCCAACGCCACCACCGCTTTCACCGACGCACTGCGAGTCAGCTCCAACACTCACCACAGATATCGAGGAGCCTCACCGCCGGAAGCACCCTCCCCCAAACACAGCCGTTACCGGGGGCCTGGAAGAGCAGCAGCGCCGCCTGCTGGAGACGTAGGGCAGAGACCTCCACGAGACGAGTTGCTATAAATTGTAAATTGATAATAATAATAATAATAATAATAATAATAATAATAATAATAATAATAATAATAAT